AATAACTCCACAATCCTAGAAAGTATGCCCTAACAAGATCTGCCTATGATGATAGATTTTTCCCCCTTTCCTGAAATATATCACTTACCATAGTTTGTATTTCCTAAATAAGTGAATCTGTAAACATGTTTTATTTCTTGAGATCAGGAATAGCTAAGTACCAATATTTTGCTTTAAATAGTTCCCAACCATTTCCTCAGGGAACACTTTTATGTACATTAAGATTTCATTTCACATTTTGTGAAAACACGCTGCTTGGGGAAAGGAAACCAAGTCCTCACATTTTAACCGCTCCTCAAGGAAAGGCACATCCTTAACTCATAACGAGCTGTGTGCCAGCACCACTCTCATTCATTTACCGGTGGGGGTTTTTCTCCATTCAATTAAGTTCCATTCCCCAATCATTCCTTAAACATTTTCTAGGCGTGAAGCTTCATGCTTGTAAGATATAAACTATTAGGGCTGCATACATAAAGAAGAGTGAGAAGAAAATGCTAAGTTTTCACCCACAGTGGCCAATAAGTTTCATTTTCCGAGAGAACTGGATTCATAGGGACTTGCGTGTGTGCTGTGTGGAGTAGAACTCTAAGGCCCTGTTCAGTGTCAGCAGACGTGAGTGCCACTGACAAGGTGATGTCTTCCATGATGTTGAGAATGAGAAGTACTGGTAAGACTGCAAAATTCACCCAACAGTTATGGAACAAATTTACGACAAAGGAATATTATTTCGAATTGCTAATTGAGTAGGTAGCTATGAATTTGTCCTTGGAGGAGGAGAGCTTAGATGTCAGAGAATGAAGAGCAGGGACATTCTAGGCAAGAGGAATGGGGAGATCAAGGTGAACACGTGAGCAATCGAGAAAGCCAACAGATGGTGCTGGAGCAAAGTCTGCATGGCGATGTCATAGGAGACAAGGCTGGAAAAGACACACAGTGACTGCGCGAGGAACAAAATCATTACCTCACCAGCTGTCCAAGTGGCCTGCTTTGTTACTCTTCTATTGTGTTAGACCACAGGTGATTGTACATCCGAATGACTCTACTTCTCAATTGAAAATATGCAACAGTACTCAAAATACCTTTCCATAACAAAACATTGTGTCCTAGCGGGCTCTTACTGCTGCCCAATGTAAGCTCATACTCTTCCCAGCATCTTAAACCTCCTTTGGGGAGCCTTGCTGACATATCTGTGATGGAGGGATTGTTTCTTCTGAACCACTGAAACCAGTTGGCATAGCCCAATCCCATCACCAGGTAACAGTGTCATTTTTGGACATCTAACTCAGCTGGAGTCAAGGAGACATGTGGAGATGTTGGTGGAACCTTTGAGAAAGAAAGTCACGCACATTTCCCAAGAATTGGGTGATTTACAGATGTGAGATCTGAAGTTGATGCAGCCATCTTGGTATTGGAGTGGGAGATGCATCAGGATGAAGCAAAACACAGAGATCAACAGTGAGATGACCAGTGAGCTCATGTAACGTTGCCCAAGCCCCTGTATCACACTGTGCCTGAAGCCTATCCCATGGCCTTCAGAGATATGCAGCAATACATTACTTTTATTAATCAGACAAGTTTGAGTTCGATTTTCCGTCATATGCAACAGAAGGAGTGCGCACTGACAGGACAATTATAATCTTCACAGTTTTCACGTTTTTGGAACCTAACGCAAGTCCTCTCTGTGGCTGGATTGTGTCCGTATTACCTTACGGCTGAAACTACTTTTGATGTGCAGGCTCAAGGAACCAGACCGCTACTCCACCACCTAAGGGCTTGCCCATCTCTGTTTACTGATAGCCTTCTCTAAGGGCTCTTGGAATGCTGGCTTTACCCTTGCATATTTTCTGATGAAGCCTAGTCTCGAATCCTCTTGTTTGATTTTGATGGGCTCTGTCAATTCTCTTCAATTAGTAAAATTGCGATCCCAACACAGCAATTTTTCCCTGAGTCTTAGATTACAGAGGGATATGCTCATGTTTGCTCTATATTGGAGCAGTATTTTTAAACATTCAAAAATCATGTTTATTTTTTTCTACAAATGGCACCGTGTGACACTGTATTTCACCTGTTGTCACAAAAATGTTGGACAACCTGCTCAAGAGCTGTTAATTATTCTCTTATCTTCTGTTAGCTTTTTAGGCAGCTGTCCTTCTTGAGAACAATGTGTTTGGGCTGAAACGTGTTGACTTTGAAGTCATGGTGTAAGGCTGTCTTCTTGGAGAATGACAGAGGAGTGATGACCAAAACCCCACTGACAACAAGGACAGAGCAGAGGCCACACTGGGGTTGCACAAACAGGCTCCTTGAGATCCTGGGAGAGCAGAGTCAGAGAGCGGCTGGAGGAGGAACTGGCTGGTGAAGTTCTGGCAGTGGAGGCTTCGAGTTTTCACATGAAAAGCAGTAACTGCAGGGGCCTGCGCTGTGGCATAGCTGGTAAAGCTACTGTCTGCAGCGCCAGCATCCCATAGGGGTGCCGGTTCAAGTCCTAGTTGCTCTACTTCCTATCCAGCTCTCTGCTAATGTGTCTGGGAAAGCAGCAGAAGATGGCCCAAGTCCTTGGGGCCCTGCACCAACATGGGAAACCAGAAAGCAGCTCCTGACTCCTGGCTTCGGCCTGGCTCAGCCCGGGTTGTTGAAGCCATCTGGGGAATGAATCAGCAGATGAAAGATCTCTCCCTCTCTCTGTCTCTCTCTGTAACTCTGCCTTTCAAATAAATAAATCAATCTTTGAAAAAAAAAAAAAGTAATAGCAGGGCTAGGCAACTGAACTTTTTGGGTCACATGGAAATATTAATCCCCCTGAGCCTTAATGTTCTTGTACCAGTTACTTACTGCAAGGAGCAATCCGGACCAAAACATAGTGGCTTGAAACAACAGTAGTTGGCTCAGCTCACACATCAGCGATTTGGAAAGGTTTTGTATTAGGCCTCTATTGCTGCTGTAACAGATCACCACAGATTTAGTCTTAACACAAATGTACTCTTTCACAACTGTGTGTGTGGTTGGAGATCCAACACAGCTCTAACTTAGCTACAGTCAAGATACCAGGGAAGAGCGTTTGGCTTAGCAGTTAAGACATTAGATTGGGATGCCCAATTCCCAGGTTGGAGTCCCAGCTCCCTGGTCAGTACCAGCTTCCTGCTAAAGCAGATCCTGGGGGCCAGTGGTTGTGGCTTAAATGGTTGGGTCCCTGCCACCTACATGGGAGACTAAGATGGGGTTCCAAGCTCCTGGCTTTGGCCTAGCCCAGCCCTGGCCACCGCAGGCATTTGGGGAGTGAAGCAGTGAATGGAGGATCTCTCTCTGGAAATTGACTTTCAAATAAACAACTTAAATATTTTCAAAAATTTTAAATAATAATTTAAAAAATTATGCTTTGTGAATTTGGAGAAGATTATGGCTCTTGCTGTTGCACACTTGTCCACACTCCCTTATGAACACAGTGGCAGGCTTCAGGGGACCCAGGTGATGTTATGCTCCCTGGAGTCAGGACTCCAGGTAACAGTGCACGAAACTGTGCAGGCTGTGGTGCGTGTGCTCCATGCATAATTTAGATTTATTTCCTTTTTATTTATTTTCATTTTACTTGAAAGGGGGGAGAGAGAGAGAGAGAGAGAGAGAGAGAATATCTTTTATCTACTGGTTCACTCTCCAAATGTCTGTACCAACTAGAGCTGGCCCAGGACAAAATCCGGGGCATGCAACTCAACCTGGATCTCTCAAGTGAGTGACAGGGACCCAGCCACATACGGGAACCCATCACCTGCTGCCTCTGCAAGCTGCATCGGGAGTAGAGCAGCTGGCACTTGAACCAGGCACTCCCTTATGGGATGTGGGCGTCCCAAGTGGAGACTTAACTGCTGTGGCAAACCCTCATTCCTACTTTATTTTGAAATGTAGGGCCCAGGAGACTTTCCTATCTGCTGACAACACAGACTGTTTTGTTTTCTTTGTTAAGTCAGAAATGTGGGGAAAATATGTTCCATCAAAAGTGCCTCCCTCTGTTGTTTCATTTTTTCCTGTTTATAATATGGAAATGCTATCATCTTTAAAGAAGGAAGTGAATATTTTCATCAGCCATGTCAAGACTTTAAATCATATGTAATGCTTTACTTTTTTCATTTTGCTTCTGGCTTCATGCATATCTGAATAATTTTACTTTGATGCCATTAATTTTTTATTATTTCAATAGTTTAATATTTTATTTATGTATTAATTTGAGAGACACAGAGGCAGAGAGACAGAAAGGGCGTTCCCCTCCACTAATCTGCAGCTCAAAGGCCTGCAATGACCAGGCCCCAAGGCCAGGGTCCAGGAACTAAACCCAGTCTCCTACATGAGTGGCTGACACTCAGGTACTTGAGCCACTCAGCCACTGGTTCCCACAGTGTGCATTAGCAGGAAGCTGGGGCTGGAAACCTGGGCTGGGGACTGAACCCAGGCAACCTGTGATACGTGAGTGTCCTGACCAGTGGAGCAGAACTGCCCCTTGGCAGCTGTTTTGCTTAAACTAAGCTTTATTGTTCCCTGATGATCAAAATCACAGATACACCTAAGAATATAAACAATAGAAAACTCAGAGGAGAAAAGTCTTTATAATGTGGAAGGAGTGCCCTGCTGATGGTGTGCAAGGTGCTGTTTCAGGCTTGCTGCCCTGTTTCTATACACGCAGAGCAACATGGAACCATAGTGCAGATACGCGGGGCAGCTGCCTCGCATTCCCAAATACACGGAGTCTGTCCTTCATGCAGATGCTTGTGGCTCCACCTCACTCCTTCTGAGGCTAGTATCTTCCATTTGTGACATACCAGAATGTATTTTAGCAAATCATAAAATCTTAATTAGAAGGTTTGGGTGAGAGAGGGGCTATACATAGTGCAATGAACATGTGGGAAAGGACCTCAGTTCCTCTCTCCTGCCCTGGTCTCTCCCATACCCTGGTTTCATGGAAAGACCCCACTGGGAAACAGGGCTTCATGACTTCCGCTTTGATCTCTTACCTGTGAAAAGAGCCCCAAATGTGCAGAGACCGGGAGCGAATGCAAGTCTGCTCTGCATGCAGCCAACACTTCCAGTGCTTTCTGGACTCCAGGCTCCTCATCTGCAAAGGAGAGACGTGGAGGAGTCAACGTCTGGTTGCTTTTGCCCGTTGCTTCTTGTGCTCCTGGAGTGGACAGTGTGCTAAGCATTGCATCAGGGGCTTCCCAGGTTGTCCCTACAGCAACTGCAATAGGCAGAGAATATAATTCCCCCTTTTCACCAAGTGTCAAGGCACTGAGAGTGTAAGAACTCACAGAGCAAGAACGGAGACTGGGATTGCCAGCATGGGGCTGAGCAAGGCAGAGTTGGAGAGGCTGAGCTCTGGCAGCAACTTTGCCTAAATGCAGTCTGGTTGCCACAGCACTTGACAGTTTATTACTGCTTTGTTTGTACTCTTTCTGTTGTCTTTCTCATGCAGATAAAGAGAGATTTTTATTCTCATTTTAGATGTGATAAAACAAGAAAGGTTAACTGGCTTGTGCAAGGTCATACAGATAGGAAGTGATATTCAACAGAATTAATTTCTTGGTTAGCAGATACCAGGATTGACTTTATGACTTAATTCTGGTGAACATTTTGGAGAATTCCTTTGGTATTATGCTTCAATTGCTAGTTTCCCACTTACTGCAGATACAGAAAAGGACTCTGAAACCCCTACAGTGGGAAGCAAATGTTTTTAGAAATCAATATACAATATATAGACTCTTTCATTTTCCATTAAAATTAATTCAATTAAAATGTATTTTATAACCATATTTTAACATTTTACTCCCTCTTTTAATCATTTTATAATAGTATACATAGGAAATCAGCAATAAGGATATTCCTTTTTTTTTAAGATTTATTTATTTGAAAGGTAGAGTTACAGAGGGGCAGAGGGATTGAGAGAGAGAGAGAGAGAGAAAGAGAGAGAGAGACTTCTTTCATCTTTGGTTCACTCCCCAAGTGATTGCAATGGCCAGAGCTGGGCTGATCTGAAGTCAGGAGCCAGGAGCTTCTTCTGGGTCTCCCACGCAGGTGCAGGGGCCCAAGGACTTGGGCCATCTTCTACTGCTTTCCCAGGCCATAGCAGAGAGCTGGATGGGAAGTGGAGCAGCTGGGACTTAAACTGGCACTCATATGGGATGCTGGCACTGCAGGTGGTAGCTTTACCTATTTTGCCACATGCTGGCCATAGTAAGGATAATTTTTTTTTATTTGACAGAGTTAGACAGTGAGAGAGAGAGAGAGACAGAGAGAAAGGTCTTCTGTTGGTTCACCCCCCAAATGGCCGCCACAGCCGGAGCTATGCCGATTCGAAGCCAGGAGCCAGGCGCTTCTTTCTGGTCTCCCATGCAGGTGCAGGGGCCCAAGCACTTGAGCCACCTTTCACTACCCCCTCGGGCCACAACAGAGAGCTGGACTGGAAGAGGAGCAACTGGGACTAGAACTGGCACCCATATGGGATGCTGGCACCGCAGATGGAGGATTAACCAAGTGAGCCACGGCGCTGGCCCCTAGGATATTTTTAAAAGGAGTAATGGATGGGGCATACGTTTGCTGTAACAGTTAAGCTGCCACTTGGTAAGCTCTCATCCCATATTTGAGACCAGTACTTGAATTCTGGATCTTTCTTCCATTCCAGCTTCCTGCTCACGTGCACTCTGGGAGGCAGCTGGTGAGGTCCCTGACATCCACGTGGGACACCCGGATTGAATTCCTGGACACTGGCTGCATCTTGACCTAGTTGTGGATGTCGTTACAGGAATTTGGGACGTGAGCCAGAGGGTGGAAGTGCTCTCTCTCCTTCTGCCATTTAAATAAGTAAATAATTAATTAAAACTAAAGTGAGGAATGGACTCTGTCAAGCAGGGAAAGATCGTCAAGGGAGCAGGAAGGTGGGGATACTGACCGGCACCGTGAACATCTGGTGCTGGTTCTCTTTGTGAACCTCTGACAGTCCACAAGGGGGTCAGCTTGCCTGGTGGGTATTTATGGTAAACAGAAATCGCAGTATTGAAGCAGACTGCCTGGTTAAGTAGAACTTGATGTTTGTATTCCTCGACTTTCATAGTTGCTACTCACCTTACTTTCACTTCCTTAGCTGTGTTTCGAAAGCAGGTTTCAACACGCGTCAAGCACAGAGTGATCTTCCGTGCGCTGAGCCCATCACAGGGGGCTGTGCTCACTGGTTGCCCTCCACTGTCCCTTCTGGGCAGTCGAGCTTGGTCGTGCTTAGCAAACAGGCAGGAGACACTGAGACCAAGTCCAGCTCTGCACACGCACGATGCCCACTTGGAATGGGTTTTGTGAGCTCACTTTTTAAGTTGTGCTTTCATCCTGACCAGCTCTGGTTTCCGTCATGTATTTGGCTCAGCTGCAAGTCTGCCTCTGCAAGGCTGTCTCACTGGGTGACAGTCATTCTCTCCCTGTCCCTGTCTCCTGGCCCCTTAGAGACCACTCCCTCACCCCCGAGCTTCACGCTCTATCCCCCTTTGCACAGAGCACTTTTATTCATTACCAAGTATTTTTTTTTTTTACCCTTGATGGACTTCTTATGTCTGAAAGAAAAAAAAAAAGATTATACTCTTTGGTCCCCCAAACACAAGGGGGAGAATTTTCTGTTTGTCCAAGTAATTTCTTTTAAAAAAATTTATTTGAAAGACAGAATTACAGAGAGAAGAGAAAGAGAGAGAGCACCGTCCGCTGGTTCACTCCCCAAATGGCTGCAATGGCCAGGGCCGGGTTGGTCAGCATCCAGGACCCAGGAGCTTCCTCTGGGTCTCCCACCTGAGTGCAGGGGCCCTAGCAGCTGTGCCATCCTCTACTGCTTTCCCAGGTCATGAGCAGGGAACTGGATCAGAAGTGGAGCAACCAGGATTCAAACTGGTGCCCATATGGGATACTCGCATCGCAGGAGGTAGCTTAACCGGTTACGCCACAGAACAAGCCCCCACATAATTCCTGATTTTAGGGCCATGCAGGATGCCTTTGTTCATACAGCCGCCTCAGTCTGGGAGCCAAGGAGAGAATGCTAAGCCTCTGATTGCTGTACCAGAGAAGTCTTTTGTTGTACACGATGCCAACCAGGAAATCCCAGGATTCTCGTGTCAAGGTGCTAACAGTCTCCCAAAGGGTCAGAGAAGGCTCTGGTGTGAGTGCGACAGGAGGCACAGTGATCTGTCTCTAAACGTAGCAAGGGCTGCTGCTGCGGCAGTGCTGGCATCCCATATGGGCGCAGGTTTGAGTCCCAGCTGCTCCTCTTCCAGTCCAGCTCTCTGCTATGGCCTGGGAAAACAGTAGAAGATGGCCCAAGTCCTTGGGCCCCTGCACCCATGTGGGAAACCTGGAAGAAGCTCCTGGCTCCAGGCTTCAGATCGGCGCAGCTCCGGCCTTTGCAGCCAGTTGGGGAGTGAACCAGTGGATGGAAGGTCCCCCACCCCCTCTGCCTTATCCTTTTTCTGTGTGTAACTCTGGTTTTCAAATAAATAAATAAATCTTTCGATAAAAAAATAAACCTAGCAGTGGGTTCTTCTCTCCAGGGTCACTACATTTCCTAGTCTCATCGGTTACACTCTTGTTTAAGTCTTAGTTAAGGTAGAGGTTTGGATTATAATTTGGGGCTTCTATTTTTGTTACTATTTTTTTAAATTTGAGAGAGAGAGACAGACAGACAGACAGAGACAGAGAGAGAGACAGAGATAGTAACAGACAAAGAAAGAGGGATCCTATGTGCTGACGCACTTTCCAAATGCCCATATCAGCCAGGCCAAAGCTGGGAGATGGAAACTCAATCCAGATTTCCCACTTCAGTGGCAGGGATCAAACTACATGAGTTATCCCCACTGCCCCCAGGCGTGCAGAACTGCGAACTGGGGCTGATAAAATACCCAGTACCCCAGTGTGGGATGTGAGTGTCCTCCCCAGTGTCTTAACTGGCAGGACAAATGCCCACCCCAGGGGAATATAATTTTATTTTTTAAGATTTATTTTATTTATTTTTTATTTGGAAGGCATAGTGACAGAGAGATGGGGGGGGGGGGAAGAGGGAGGGAAAAGTATATGAGAGAACATCTTCCATTTGCTGCTTTACTCCCTAGGTGGCTGCAACAGCTGAGGCTGGGCCAGGCTGAAGCCAGGAGCCTGAACCACATCCAGGACTCCCACAAGGATGACAGGGACCCAGGTAGTTGGACCATGACCCACTGCATTCCCAGGTCCATTAGCAGGGAGTTGGATCAGATGCAGAGTAGTGGGACTTGGAAGTCCTTCTGATACAAGATATGGGCTCTGCGAGTGGAGGTTTAACCTGCTGTGCTGTGATGTCTACCTCATAGAGTCCATTTTTTTTTTTTTTTTTGACAGGCAGAGTTAGACAGTGGGAGTGAGAGTGAGAGAGAGAGAGAGAGAGAGAGGTCTTCCTTCCGTTGGTTCACCCCCCAATGGCCGCTGCAGCTGGCGCACCGCATTGATCCAAAGCCAGGAGCCAGGTGCTTCTCCTGGTCTCCCATGGGGTACAGGGCCCAAGCACTTGGGCCATCCTCCACTGCACTCCTGGGTCACAGCAGAGAGCTGGCCTGGAAGAGGGGCAACCAGGACAGAATCCAGCGCCCCAACCAGGACTAGAACCAGGTGTGCCAGCGCCTCAGGTGGAGGAGTAGGCTAGTGAGCCCGGCACTGGTCATTGACTCCATTTTTAAAGGAAAGTGGGGAAAACAGATTTTGGAGGACAATTAACTGTCTGCCACAGTCCGTTCCTTTAACCAGTGAAATATCTATGTACTTGCTTTCTCTCGCCAATGAAGCATATTAATTTCTCTTCCTATCAAAGGTGAGGCAACTGCCAGGTCCCGTCTAACTCCCACTGTCGTGAGCAGAGTGTGGGATCCCGCGGGGGTGCATACCTCCAACGTCCGGATATGGTTCCTCGTGGCCCAGCCCCTTAGGAACTGAAGGCTGAGTGCCTTCTCTCCCCAGCAGCACAACCACCAGAGCTGAAACCCCCATTTACAGCAGCAGGCTGTCGGCTGTCCTGATGGGCAGGAAGTGCGGGCACCTCTTCCTTGGGGATGGCTTCTGTCC